GTTTAATTCGACAGCTGCGATTCCCACGTTAGTAGTAGTTTCGCCATGTCTTTTTTTAAAGTGGAGAGATTAGAATTATTTCTAACTTTGTTTGTTTACATTTTTAACTTAGTAAATGAGTTGATAATTAATATTTTGCTATGGAAAACGGCAGTGAAGTGAATGTGTTCAATGCCAACATGGAAGTAGGACTAGATCTAGATCTAGATTTAGGCCTAGGTCAAATGAAACTGTAGATCTAGTCGATCTTCCACTTCAGCCTAAAGGTAAAAGAAAAAAGACAAGCCAGTGGTGCTCTGAAGGGAACTGTTCAAACGCACGATGTAATAGACCAGATCTTTCGTTTTTTCGGTTTCCTAAGGATAAGGTCGGTGAGGTGCCAGAAGTGGGTGGTAAACTGCCGCAGAAAGGATTTGTTGGGCAGGTCATCAGAGTGTCTCTTTTCTAGTAACGTTCTTTGTTCTGAACACTTTGAGGACTCACAGTTCGCCACTGCGAAAAAAAATCAGCTGAAGCGTGACAATACAGCAATACCAACGCGTTTCAACGTGCCCAATCCTCCACCTACTATAGAAGGAAATAGACCACCCCCTAAGAAAAAGGACTATTGTGCTTACAAAATGTTCGAGCTCATCAACAACATGGAAGGACATTTCTCAACCTCAAATATCAGTTTCACACGTAAAAAGAATTATTTTCAAGAAAAACTTTGTACATTTGGAAATTAGATCTAGATTCTAGATCTAGTTTTTAAAAGTATTTATACATAGATTTGAACAAAAATATTAATATCACCCAACCACTAGAGTCTACATTATTATGTTTGTTAACAATTAGCAGCCTACAATTTGAAAAAGATTCTGAATTTCATTCGGTAAATCAAAATGTGATAGAAAGAATGTTACTGTAAGGGCTAGAGGGCTAAAGGGGACAAGCTGTTAAATCAGTATAGCCGGTATGCTTTAGGAGAAGCATGATACAATGAAAGCGCATGGCTTTTGTCTGTGGCCCTCCATTTCTTTCCTTTCATTTGT